CACAAATATGTACTTATCTATATCTTTATCAACTCAACTTGTCCCCACGCAGGACTTAAGTAGATGAATATGCCTTTACAATCAATTCAACAAAAGCAAGAAATATGTTCTTATCTACATCTTCATCTATTCAGGTTTCATGGGATTTAGTGTAGAATCCTACTTATAGAATCATATGGATCACATGCCATGTTATCTGGTACAAGTGAGAGAGAGAGAGAGAGAGAGAGAGAGAGATTCATGTGCTCTTGCTGCCAATTTACATGGTTTAATTGAACATTAAAGCTCAAATTATATGGTTTTTACTTGCCCTAATTGAAAACGTCCATGAGGAAAATTGTGACATTCATCATACTTCTTGTTCAATGTTACAAATATTTCTATATCCTTGCACTCTCGCTTATTATATGATTAACAATTTCAAAGAGGTTCTTCATCCCCTTGCCCAAATTTTACATTCTAGAAATAATATAATATGGACAATACCAACCAACAAGTAAGACAAACTAAATTATGGCAATAAAAGAAAATCAAGCTCTTTAGCTTAATATGTACCTTACTGACTGCTTCAGATAAAGCTTTAGTTGTCAACACCATGGTGCTTTCATATGACGCATCCTCACATGAACCAGGCCACGAAACAGAAGGCATCATGGATTCAAGATCATGCTTATTCGGATTCTTCCGTGACAGGAACCCTTCAAAAAGGAATTCAAAATCAGGCGATTTCCACCAAAGCACCATAAGCTCTTGTCGTCTCAAGATATGGCATGCCAACACGAGGTATGGGTATGACCCTGAGCATGGGCACTCTTTTAGAACCAGTGGAGCTATTTTGCAACCACACGCCAGGGCATTTATGAAATGTTCAAACAGCAAATGTGATCCTTCAAATTCCAGAAAGACATCAAGAACTCTATCTAAGCTTGAATAATCATGGGGCACCTGCTGCCCAAACACTTCCATCATGAATGACAGAAATGGACCCCAGGCAATGTACTCTATGCTCCAAACATCTACTCCAAGTACAGAGAAAAATTCCTCGCATAGCCCATGAGAAGTAGGATACAAAAGTTCTTCATGTGAAACAAACCTCTTCAGTCGCCTCAATTTTTGAACAGAAGAATGCTTTGCCTGCTCAACAGAGTGCATACCCAAAAGCCTTGACAAGCAACACAGCAACTGAGTAGCAACTGGAATTAAGGATGGAGGTTCTTGAAGGGGAAGGTAGCCTTCAATGGGAAATCTAAAGGGGCGGGCCCCAAAATTTAATTCGCATCGTTCACCCTGAGAAAGAGAGATTGCAGGATAATATCCAGATACTGGTCCCATCTTACGAATGCCATGAAATGCAGCCCCAAGTGAGACACCATTTCTGTAGAATGATATTTCATTACAATCCAAATCTATGCAGCAGCCAATAGCATCACCAACAACCCACGATTGACCATATAGCTCAGCATCCTTGTTCCATTTTCTAACCCTCCTCCCATCAAATGCATACGAATCATCAGCATCACCTACACCCTTATGGTCAGTAAAAGGGCAAGAAACAGTTGCCCATCCAAGTTGCTGAATACCTGAAGTTTCTAGAATAACTTCATACATCCATTTACCTTTCCACACAAAAGCATTAGCTCTGGCACTGCTGAACATTGCTAAGCTCTCTACAAGCAAAGGTGGCTTAATAGGTCTAATATCACCACGAATACTGAATTCATCAAGACCAATGATGTGGGGACCACAGCCATTCCCAGGAATACAAATTCCATCTCTGTTTCTAACCAAAGCACTTGAATTGGCGTGCAATTTAGAGAATTCTTTCTGTATAATGCAGCGAACTAGATTGTTATCAATTGGACTGGGCAACAAACCAACAGATTTGTTAGGGAGACCAAGAACATATTCTAAGGTCCGCTCCACTGATTGATGGCCAAAATCATCACAGTATGAAACAAGATGGGTTTTCGACGAATTCTCTTTACTATCCTCGTCATTCAATATCACGGCCAGACCAGAAGAAACCCCACCAATCCGTAGGCTGTCTTCTGCCATTCTGGACAAGGGCGAGCAATATATGCCCAATACTATCCACAGCACTGGAAAAATTTATTCAAACTTCAATATGCCTAATAGAAAGCCAATTTTGATTCCAACACTGATCCATCCCAATCAAAACTCTGAAACCCAAGCAAATTACCATCATGACCTGAAATCTCAAGGTTGAAATGCATACAACTTAGTTTCATAAACCATCTACAGAACGTTGTCCTGTTGGTTTCGGATAAATACAGAAGAACACAAAATCAAAACTGCAACTTAAACATATTCCATGGACTTGGTTCACAGTGAAATTATATAGAACAACTCAATCAAGCTTAGCACAATTAGTTGGCAAAATTAACGTATATGTTTACAAACTACGTGACAATATATGTAAAATTCACATTCCCTTGTCCTTTCTCCTCCCCTCAGTTTTCTCGGGGACCAAACAGGATCAAGTGGAAAATGAATTGGAGGAAAATTCGGAATTTAATTTTCTAATTCAAAAAACAAACGTACAAAATCTTCAGTGCTATAATGGCAACACACAGAAAATTGAATAATTGGGAAATGATGAAAGAACTCACAGGTCCTGGCCATGTTTATCGTTTTCACAGTACATAGCGGCTAGGGTTTTGCAGCTGCCATTAAATTAGCATCGGCTATAATCTTAATATGCCTGTGAGAGAGAGAGAGAGAGAGGGCGAGGAAGAAGGACAAAAATGGAATTTTGAAGTTTTCGCCAATAGTCGGGGGACGCGAGCGCACCACGAGACGAGAGAAAGACAAACAAAAACGAAACAAGCAGCTGCTGCTTCAAGCCCACGCACGCTAACCTCAAGCCCTAAAAATGGAACTTACCGACACGTGTCACGCTCCCGCGGGAGTTACTGGCTGCTGACCTGGCGGGTCGTGCTAAACTGCGCCGGTGGATGGACGTCTTGTGGCTGTAACTGGATGGATCCATGAGAATGACGTGTTCCGAGTTTTTTAATGTTTAAATTTATAAAAAAAAGAAAAAAAATGCTGCTATTTCCCCTCTGGATGAGATCAGAGAGGGAAGGAGAACAGAGATGGAAGACAAAAGTGGGGAGAGAATCCAAAGATTAGAAAGGGAGGAGAGAGGGGGTAAGAGGAAGACGGTGAAAGATTAAAAAGGAAATTAATTTTTGTTTTATACAAAAATAAAATTAATTAAAAACCCTTAATCAATAAAATTCATTAATACATGTGTGAATTTATTTAAGTTAATAATTAAAGGGTATTTTTGGAATAATGGTTGGTGGAAAGATAGGATTGGTTTTTTTTTCTTTTCAAATTTACGTAGTGGGTGGGTGGGAAAATAAGGTGGGTGAGGAAATAAGACAAGGTGGAAATAACAGCACTCATTCCAAATCATACCAACCTATGACTTAAAACAAAAATAAGGCTTTTTATTTTTATTTTGTAATCTTTTTGTTTTCTAGTTAATACCATGTGAAATGTGTAATGTCTAACTCCCTTAAGCTTTCTAGATAAGCAATCTAGCAAGTGTTAGGCCAGTGACTCCAAAACCTCGCATGCTTGAAGACATTAGGTGCAAAGACACCCTTATGAGCTTAGTAACTTGAGTTAAAGAAAAAATTACAGAGATAATTAAACTAGCTAGTCCCCTAAAATATAACTAGTCTCGACTATGCTAGAATTGACATTCACGAGGGGCATAAACAAATTGAATGGACCGCAACTATTGTGTAGCAATATGAATGTCATACAGCCCTCCCTCAAGATTTGCTGACCCTCACGATTCACTTGTAGTGTCCTGATTTGAAATGTAATGTGAGGATTAATATTTTTTATACAAAAAAAAATCAAGGATTCGAGATGGGGATGGGGGATAGCCCCTCAAAGGGAATGGGAACGAGGATTCCCCAAAACCTCTTAAACGGGGATGGGAAGCAAGTACAACGATGGTATTGCCATACCCGGTCCATTGTCATCCCTAAGTCAGATCCCCATTTTTGATTAATCGAACCCAACGGTCGCCTACCCTAAGAATAAATTAGTACTAATTTTTCTACTAACAATCACAGTATATTCATCTTTTTACTTTTTATGTCACTATTATATTTATTTTTTAATAAATAAGATTCTTTAATAAATGAAAAGAATGTGGATTTTTATGTTGTTTATTTTAATTTTAGTCTACTAAGAGTTCACGTTTGATCTCTCTCACACACATGTTATGAATTTATCACTTTTGTAGTAACATGCATTCATGTTACATGACAAATTATTATTTTTAATATAATTGATGGTCTAAATTACTCTAAATTAATTTAATTTAAAAAAAGGATAATTCGATAATTTAGAAAAAGGATAATTCGATAATTTAATTTAGAAAAAGGATAATTCACATTTGCCAAATATATATTTTTTAATTTATGTATGGTATTATGTCTTTTTTTTTCCTCTGCAATACATACTCTACTCAAAATAGGTCAGCTCTATCTACTAATTGCCAAACTGAAAAGGTCAAAGCCAGTTTTCTCATTGAAAACTGAAATGGGAGTTTGACATTCCAGTTTTCTCATTGAAAACATAAGAGATACGTTGTCCATTGAAAACATAAGAGATACGTTGTCCATTGAAAACATAAGGATGACTCGATGAGAAACAGTCTCGACGCCCAAACAACTTTGAATAAAAGAAAGCTTTGTTAATGTAAAGGGAGGCTGGATTTGCATTCGACCAAAATTCCAAAATATAATTACTGCAAGCACCGGCCACGCAGGGACTTGTTTCACTAATTATTATATAATCTGTCTGATATTTTTCTACTTACAAAAGGCCTTGAACACTATGCTGCTAGTAAGCTGCACGTCTAACTTGCACATGGAGCATCTTTAAACTATCATCATCACTGAAATAAGCTCCTTCCCTGTGATATGCTAAGTGGAACAAAATAGCAAAAAGAGAATCCCTGCCATGCCACGATCCCCATAGATGAGCTACATTTACTAGTTACTATATCGGTTAACAGCCAATTTCCTACAGCACCACCATTGGGGGCAAGTTAACCAAATCGCTCCCCATCTGTCTCGATTGCCACGAAAGCAAAAGTCCTCATGAATTCCATTGCCAAGGCTGAACACACCCCAATCCTTTCTTCCAGCATTGTTCAGATTAAGCCTAGCTGAAATTCCATAAAGATGATCGGAATCCCATTCGTTCCACCATGGAGCAGCATGATCGTTAGAGAAATAGATACGATTCCTCATCGCAACACCAAGTTCCGTCGAAGAAACAGACCGCGAACAACATTTGCCTAGAAATAAGATTTTATCCCCCAAATCATGTACCCTCTTCCAGGACATCAGGCTAAAATCCAATGAATATACTTTGAAATCATGTGTTTCAAGAATAGCCTCTGCTTTGGTGTTATAAAGCCTACAAACAAGAAGAAGCTCCCCACAAGATTCCACAAGATACTTCAACACACCACTATTTTCCTGCTCCTCTGACATTATTACTTCATGACAATCTATTTTTACCTCATAAGCATCATATGTTCTAATGCTAGCAAAGATATTAGCAGACTTAATCTGCCAAATGCTATAATCATTGCTTATAAGATAGAAACTTCCATCACAGAAGACAGCATCCTCAAATGGCTCACCATCTAGTTTATGTTTAAGCCATGATTCAGCTCCTGGGACCCAAAAAGAAAGCTCCCGACATTGACTATGAACAAGCATGCAAACATAGTTTTCAAGGATGGGAAGCCCTGAGAGAACAATCTTATGATAAAAGTTCCATGTTTTGGGAAGATCAGTTTTGTTCCTAGAGAATGGATTCAACAAGCTAATCTCAAGATAGAAACAACCAATATGTTTTACTAGAATCAACCAATCTTGATATGATCCCCAACAATATCTTCCATAAGCCTAGGGAAACACAATGTCCCAATGTTGTTTTTGTAGTATGCTAATACAAGTTCTTACCTCTCTATCTTTTTCACACATGAGCCATGGCACACCACGGCTTTGCCAACCAGCAAGTTCTTGTGCAACAACATGTCTCCAGGCTTTGCAAACATCACTAACAGATACACAATCAGTCACAGTCAGTCGCTCAAAGATGATCTCAAGGATACCTCGAGGCAGCTCTGTCCAATCCAGATTAACAAGATTCTGCTGCTTCTGTTTTCTATTTCTGCTTCGACCCATCGTGCAGCTCTATGACTATACTCGCCTACAAAAACAAATATAATTAATGAATATCCTAAACTATCTTTGGGAGAAAAAGAGAGGGGGGAAAGAAATCATAACAACACCAACAAACTCTTAATGACAGATTGTAAATAAAATTGTAAATGCAACATCAAGAAGTAACTAGTGGGTGAAAAAAGAGTTTTTAGTGCAATAGTATAAGCTTCAATCCAGGTGTGATGTAAGGTTCTCTGCTAACTAATCCATCGAATCTGCATGTCTTTCGGTTTTACTACACTAGCTTCTGTCAAAATTATCACAGACCTAAAAAATTTACGTCATTTAAGAGGTGAGCATGACCCCCAATCAGTGCAAGAAAGGATAATTATCTGCATGCCATGTGTTGTTGTTCTCAGCAGACTAGCAACTGTAGGAACTTACTGAGCTTCCTGGCTTGATCAGAGGCAGTGAGTACAATAAAAGAGTTTGGCTCAAACTTGAAAGAATCTTAGGCTCTTTGAAAATAGCTAAAGTATCCTTGTAGCATTGACACAGTAGAAAGTTGAAATTAAACCCAAAACTGAAATTCACTGCATAATATATGCGGATAGAAAAAATTTATGTTTTCTGGACAACTTGCTAGATAAAAAAGCAGTACTTGTTCCTACGAGTCTAGAACCAGACCTTGTAAGAAGCTCAAAGCAAATAAAAGCACCGACACAAAATAAAACCAGATTACTTTCATGAAAGAAAGTTCGGAACTTTCTTCCATTGAACCATGCAAAATTGAAAATAGCAACTTAGACAGATGCCATGCCATGTTTCAGTGCAAATACGAAATCTTTACAACAGGGAGGGATGCTGCTTGCTTATTATAGCACTCTAAATTTCTTCGTCGAATTCATGAATATGAGGAGGATATGAACTCAACTAGGAGTCCACAAGGAAACAACTAAAACAACCAAACTTAGTAATTTAAAGCAACAACCTTTTCAATGAGTTTTAGAAGATTTTAAAGCCATCAGTGCGTTTCACTTGACACCCATTTATCCAATGCGTGCATGCAACAATCAAAAACTACTGTAGCCCCCCTTAACCCACCCAAACAATGTAAAGATTTTAAGATTTCAGTAAAAATAGCACCCATCATTGTGAATCATTTGGGCAACAAAAGCTTACACAAGCATATAATGTCGTCATTCAAAATGTAGATAGCTTCAAAAGCTAAATACTAAGGAAAGAAACACTACAAAGGGATCAATGGTTGAGTTCAGTGAATAAAGCATCATCCACTTACCAAATGATGTCCAGACGTTGGAGACTAACAGCTAGAAGAACAAAGAGGAAAGTTGCACGTCTAGGTTTTACAGGAATGAAATGACAGTCGTTGCCAGAATGGAACGGCAGCAAACCATATAGCTGCTTCAGAAGAAAGAAGTATCTCGAAGGAAAAGGAATCGCTGCTTACGAAAACGCTTGGGGTCTGGGCATGGCCCAATTTGTATCGAGAAATCGGGTCACGTAGCGGGTCATTTTTTTTTTTCTCACTTTTGAGATCATCTCCCAAGTAGTTTTTTTTTTCTTTTCTTACAAAAAAGATACTCTAATGTACAAAGAGGGGATCAAACTCGAATACAAAGGATACCAAGTCAAATAATATGAGCATAATATTTTCATATTGTATTTCATTCTCTAAAAAGGAGATATTTATAATACAAGGATGTAACCCTAGTAGAGTCAAACTAGGAAACAAGATAAAATCCTAATTACACAATATCTGTATTAAAGGAAAGAAATATAGTCCTAATAAATTAGGAAATAAATCTCCTAATTAAGCTAAGATCTCGCTAACAATAGACACATACTGTTTTAGCCAACTTCTAACCCGCGTTGGCTCCAGTTTACTAGGATTGAAAATAAAATTGAATTGATAAGTTTAAAAAGGAGTCAATATCCCGAACTAGTTGATAAGTTTACACCATCCACAACATCAATTACCAAAGCAAGTCTCTTCTTGTCTCAAATTCTCAAAACTTGATGTTTTAATGTGTTTGCTCAAAACTTGATATTTTAATGTGTTTGCTCAAAACTTGATATTATCAATCTCACATCAATTACACCATCCCATATTTGGTGATGGTTTGCTCAAAACTTGATAGAGAAGGATGTTTTTAATGTTTCACGTTTTCTTCAGGCAAAAAACATTTTTTTTTTCTACATTTACCTTTTAATTATTTTAAGTATAATGGGAATACTTTTTAATTATGTTTCAATGAACAAGAGAGACTGAAGAATAACTAAACTACCCTAAACTCAAAAAAAAAAAAAACAATCTGAAGGTTTAACTTTAACTCTGTTTTTTTTCTTGATCAGATAGGTTTAACTTAAACTTAAAAACATCAAGGTTGGTATGTGCTCTTTATTGAGTCGATTGACCACTAATAGCATGTCACATGGGCGACTCTATTGAAGAATATAAAATCCCCTATCGGAAACTTTAAAATAAATATAATATATAATGAGTGGTTCCATTAATGCTTTTTGTGATAAAATTTCACATCTACTAAGCTTGGTAGGTGGGTAAGTTGAAGACAATATTGATGTTGCTAATAATAGGTCCAGACATGGACCTTAATACATCCTAACCTGGGCTACAGCCTGGTCGGCTTTTATTTTTTCTCAACCTAAAATAACATTTAGCTCGGCATGAATTTTCTTACCAACTTGGGCTATAATGTTTGAGGATCTTACATGGGGTTTTCAGCTATGAGTGAAGGGGTTGAGTGTGGGCCTGGACTGGGCTAAATGTTACCTATGATTTTTATTTCCTACAATCTATTGTCCAAGCCAAAAAAATCTTAAAAAACCCACCAAAATCCACCAAAACCCACCAAATTTTCTTAATAGGTTTGTACTTAAGGTTAATTTAGCCCGCCTAATTTGCAATTCCTAGGTCTATCCCTGAATAGGTCCCTGACTTGCCTGGGATAATATCTCAAATCCGATCATGTTTGGGTTTGACCTCACCTGACCACCACACTAGGCGAAACAAATCACCATAAATGGGCTTTTAAAGCCCAATTCGAAAGTCCGATGTTCCAATGATTAATTAATTTCCTTAATTAATTATAGCAACAATCAATCAACTTCCTTAATCGTTCTAATACTGCATGCAATGATGCAAAGATGTAGGCAGCTGCACATGCGTGTATGCGTGTGTGTGTATATATATACAAAGGATTTTTTAAATAAGCTTATTTGAGGGACATCTTTGTAGGATCCACTCCGCGTTATATTTCACTAATCCAAACCGTCTATTTTTTAGATAATCATTCAAAGATCATCTCTACAAAAAAAAATCACTTGAATCCAATATCATTTGACCACTCAATTGAGTTATTGAAATTTTAGTACTTTCTTGAAGTATCGTATTTATTGATTTTATAGGACACAATTGGATGTCGAAAAGGTTTCCAATTTGTCTAATTTGTTACAAGGATAATCTATGTATTTAGACTTAAAAAATAGATAGTTTGGATCATTGAAATTTTTTTTGTAGGGGACCTAAAAGGGTGTCTCTTAAATAAATAAAATTATTTGAAGAATCCCTCAATAGAATGAGACTATATATATCCGCCCTGTGCATTCATCATTGATCTACACTTTTGATGCACTTGACTTAACCGTGTGTCCTTGAGCTTACTACAACAACAACTACTACCGCTGCCTAATATGTGCTAATCCAAAATGAATTGATTTATTGCTTCGCCCGCCAGTAACCATAGAAAATCAGTTTGTAAGTTTTTTTTTCAAGGTTCAAATGTACGTTCAATTTTTAGAATTTTCCTAATTTAGGAGAAAAACTTACCTGATATGGGGGTGTCAGGTTAGCTTCCCAAGCCACTTAAATGCTGACAGCTGTAAGTTATTTTTTATTTGCTATTCCTTCCCCGCTTACACTTCCCTTTCATTTTTGTTTTGTTTCTGGTTTGAAGTTATGAACCTTTAATCCTCCCATTTTCAATTATCTCTCTGTCTTCTCCGCCCTTAGTTACACCTCTGCCACTCTCCTCCTCTAAATGTTTCTGGAATTGTTATGGAAAACAAATATGGGTTGGGTTGTACAAACAAACCCAAGCTTTTTGTAACCCAAAGAAAAAAAAAACCCCATACTTTAAAATTAAATAAATAAATAATTTATTTTCTGTCAACCTGTGTAATTCATGTAGCCCCTCCCCCAAATCACAGTTCTCTCCCTTAGATTTCTTAACTTTCTTATCTCTTTTGGGTTCATTTTGATGGGTAATGATTAACTCTTGGGCTTGGTTTCGTTTTTGTGGCTTTGTTTCTTCTCTTTTATCAGCTCTGTGATTTGGAAAAGAGACTTAAGAATTAAGATTAAAAAGGGAGGGGACTGTTGAGGTTTCAGACCATAAAAAGAAACGAAAAGGGTTACAAGCTAGGGAGAATAGGAGGGAAGAGGTAAATGCTAAAATATGAATATGGTTTTGAATATATTAGGTTCGTGATTTATTCTTCTCCATAAGGAGGTATATATAAGAGTTTACATGAGTGCTTTACCAGGAATTAGATACAGTAAAGAATTAGGAAAGTATCTCCTAATTATACAATGATTTGACAACTATATAAAATAGAAAAGTAAATCCCTTAATTAATCAAGGAAATAAATCTCCTTGATTAATTAGGAGACTCACTTCAACACTCCTCCTCAAGTTGATGCATATACGTCACAAATGCCCAACTTGGTAAGTGAGTCATGAAATACTCTGCCACAAACAGTTTTGGTTAAGATATCTGCCAGTTGATCTTCTGATTTTACGAATGGTAGGCGAATGATCTTCTTCTCAATTTTTTCTTTGATAAAATGTCTATCCACCTCAATATGTTTGGTTCGATCATGTTAAACTGGATTATGGGCAATATTAATGGCTAACTTGTTGTCACAATGCAACTCCATTGGCTTTTCTGGCTTGAAGCCCAATTATGTCAAGAGTCTTCTAATCCACATGAGAGGGG